TAGTTTGTAGGATTGCCTTGTAATAAGTTTAATGTCTTTGTGATCAATAATCATGTCTCCTTTTCCAGTCCTGTTATTAGTGCTACACATGTTTTTTCCTGCTTTACTCATCTGGCTAGAGGTAGATTGGTGTTCTTATTCACTGCAAAAAATTCATATTGAGTTTTGTTTATAATTTTTATTTTAAGTTAGCTGCATCAGTGTGCTATTTCTTCCTTGACTTACTTACTTTGTTTATTCTTTTTCTACCTTCTTAAGATGGAAGTTTAGGTTATTGATTTGAGACCATTCTTCTTTTCAAACATAAGTGTCTAATGTAAAGAATTATTCTCCCAGAACACATTTGTTGCGTTATATTTGCATTTCTAACCCATTCACATTTTTTTTTTTCAATTTCCCTGGGAACTCTCCTTTGGATCCATGGGTTATTTAGTTTTAATTTTGAAGTGTCCAGAGATTTTTTTCCTGTAATCTTTCTGTTTGTTATGTTTGCCTCAACTCTGTGATTAGAGAACCTACTCTCCAGTTCTTTAAATTTGCTATGGTTTGATTTGTGGCACCTAATTCTGATCTATCTTGGTGAGGTTTTCTCTGTACTTAAAAAGAATATGTTATGACTTGCTTTTCAGAGTTCTCAAAAAGTTGCTCCATCCTTTATGCCCATGTTTTATAGATGTGTGCACTGAGATAGATACAGTGGAATACACTTCTTTCATTTTTGCCAGAATTGGAACCTTCCATGTCACTTTGTCAAAACTTTTGTTTGCTGATAAATGCTGGATTCTGAAGCAGTCTGCATAAAGATCCTCTTAGGGCTCAAAAACTACAAACTACATGAAAATTGATGGTGAATATCCTCCTGTTTTCTTCTTTTTTTTTTTTTTTTTCTGTTTTTCTTCTGGTACCAGGAATCAAACTCACGACTTTGCGCTTGCCAGGCAGGCGCTTTGCCGCCAAGCTAAATCCCCAGCCCCTCCTCCTGTTTTCTTGGTAAGGGCTACCTAGGTTTTGAGAATTCTAAAAAGCAAACAAGAGCACATTCTGTTTTATACCATGGGTAATTACTACATTTTTCCATGTCCTTAAAGCTCTGGTTGTATTTTAGATAGACACTCACATAAAACCTACTGAAATTTTCAGTAATTTAGAGAAGAGAAATGGAAAAACATTAGCGAGGTCAGGATAGACAATTCACGGGAGTCATGTGATACCAGGATAAGTTTTCCCCATATAAGGATACTCATGTAAAGTTTGCACCTTACTGTGAATGGTCAAGTTTTCAGCGGGCAGATCCTAGCAAAGTGCATCTGTCAATCATGGCCAAAAGAAAGCAAGCGCTAGCTGCTTCATGGTTATAGGAGAATTATAGCGGACAAAATGGGGTTCGTGGAAAATAGAACTGACAAACATCGGACGGAAGGTCCCCCAGCCCCAGCTAGCCTAGTGAAGTTAAAGGAGTAGCTTTTATATGATTATGGAGTTATATAAGGAATCAGGGCATTGGAAGAAGTCCATTCCTGTGGCTCTGTGAAATGCCTCTGTGCAGAAGGAAGGTTGAATGAATGGTGATCCAGAGCAAATACCAGCTCTGGGGCAGAGCAAGCTAGCGTCACTCTGTCATTTGCTGACCGCATGAGAGAATCCCGTGGTCAGAGTAACTCAGAGGTAAGGAAATCTTTAAGTTTATCAAATGTAGAGAATCTAGATAATAGAAAGTTCCATGTACAGGGATAGATGTTAATGTGCTGTGCACATGTTAACAAGCTTCATCAGTATTTTCATGAATCACATGCAAGTAAGTACATATTGAAACTTCTTGCTTGGTAACATAGGCATCCAAGTAGACACATTGGGAAATAACGGTGCTAAATATGAAGAAATACCACTACATAAAGGGGTATGAAAACAGTCTTATGGTAAAATAGATAATGCAGAGGATTTATTGTATGTTAAGTTCCAGTCACCTGAAGCAAGGGCAAAATCTGACCACCACAACCACCAAAAACTAAATGGTAGTTCAAACACTGTGGACCCATACATTCCTAGGCAGTTTCGTTTGCCTGCTGACAATTTCTCCATCTTTGGTCCATTGCTTCCTACCTTAAAAAAAGGAAGCGGAAGTCTATTACTATCGATAGTATTACAGTTCTAAGGTTCAATGCAAGGCAGTATTAAAAGAACCAGCGTCCTCCTAGAGGCTTCAGTCCAGCCAACTGCCTCTCACCAACCTTATCTTTATCTTGGTATCTTTCATCTCTCAAAACCGGCCTGCACAAACATATTTCTTTCCCTCTGCTCTATTTGAATTCAGCACAGGGAAAGACTAACCCTGGATTTGTGTTTGCTCAGGAAGGTTATCTTTAGATTAGCTTTACCTTGGTGACCAGATGCTGCTGCCTTTGTCATGATCCACTTACTCTTGGGAATATCAATTAAGGTCCTCAATCACAGTAATTAGAATGTCTTCTAAGTGTTGCCTTAGGAATTCGGTAGGTTATAAACAGGCAAATTGGGAAAAATCCAGAGGTGTCTGTTTTTTTTTTTTTTTTTTTTTTCATAGCTGCAAGCAATTTGGGAGGCCTGAATGCTTCAGGAGAGCTGAGTAGTGGGGCTGAAATTACTGCAGTGAAATATCTGGTTGGTCTTGCTGACAAGGATTAATGCAGAATTATTAATTACATTTATTAATGACTTAGATGAGGACATAGGTAGCATGCTGATCAGGTTTGTAGAAGACACAACGCTTGGGGGGATAAGGAGCAGTTACTGCAACGACAGACTCTGGATCCAAAACGATTTCAAGACAGCATTAATGACAATCCACCCACTACCTGCCCAGCAGCCTGACCTCCTTGAGTACAATGTAATGATTATATCATTCCTATAATCAGAAAACATCAGTGATTCCCTATTTACTATTTAAGTTAACTCCCTTCTTTAGCCTTATTCTGATCCTAATGCTCTCTGCTTTTCAAAAAAAATCTTTTATAGTTCTTTTTCTAATACACTGTGAGACAAACTAAATTATGGATAGCCATTTCCTATTTATGTTCCATGTTTTTATTACTCATGAACATTATTATCTACCAAAATTTTCTTTTTCTCAGATATACTTCTCTCTGCCTCAGTTTTAAGGAATCCAGCCACCACTTGCACAGTTAGAAAGGCTGTTTCGTGTTTCGTCTTCTTCAGCTGCCTTGGCTGGAGTAATAGATTTCTTTTGCTAATCTTCAATAATACTTATCTGATCCTCTCTGTTTATATCACTTTTTACTTTGTGTTGTAGTTACTTTTAACACACATTTGAAGTCCTTGCTAGCATCTGCTTAGTGTTGTAAGGTCGATCCGATAAATCTTTGTATTCTCTAAGAGTGTCTCATGTGTATGTTTTACACACAGTTGATGGTATTGAAAAGGTTTGCTTGGGGTTTATCAGTTGCACAGGAGTGCGTAGAGAAAAGGGCCTTCATCCTTTCTTCCCTTCCAGTTATTTTATAGGAATTTGTAAATGTAAAATGCTCAATACATATTTTGGTTTTGGTTTTGTGGTGCTAGGCATTGAGCCTAAGGCTTTGGACATAGCAGGCAAGTATGCTAGTCCTGGGCTATGTTTCTCTCCCAAGGCTCATACATGTGTTACTGAATGAATGAGCAAGTGATGGACAGAAAATTCCCATGAGGCAATGGTATAAAGACTAAAAAAGAGAAGTTGTTGGGGGAGAAAGAGACAGTCTCTGAGATAATGTGTTTGTTGGTGATAGAGTAATAAGCTCACTTCCACTCTGTGAACAGCTAAGGTAAAGAAAGAATCAGAAATTTCTGGGGGTGTATGTGGTCAGACAGGTGACAGGGGCTGGACACTTCCATTGTCTCACATAAACACACCCCCAGATTCCCTTGGCAGTACCAGTGTATACCTTTTGCTTCCATATAGCATCCTTACAAGTGGTCTATTTTCCTTAAGTCCTATGGACACATTCTTTATCAAGTACTTCTTTGGCCATTTGGGGCTGGTGAGTCACTGTGGTTGTATAACTTGTGACATAGGCTGTTTGAGACAATTTACTGTTGTCATCCCTGTGTAAATGCAAATCCTTTGTCCATCAGTTTCTAGAAATGTGCTCTGGAGAAGTTATCAAGATCACTGCAAGCACCCTTACATGGATAATAGCTTCAAAAAAAGAAAGCAGATGTCTTGAGTACGGAATTTCTAAATCTTTGAGCATTTATAACACGAGAGGTTTTTACCAGGGGGCAGCATGTCTAACATAGTAGGAAAGGAAATACTTTGCAGAGTTGTCATATCTTTAGGTCTCCATTAAAGATCACACAACCAAATGTAAAGCTGTGTTTCTTGCTGGTTGGCAGTTTCTGCTGGTTCTCAGAAGGAAGGCTAAAGATCACGGAAATTGGACTCCTGCCTCGTCATTTGTCTCTTCCAATGAGAAAAACAGGTGCTACAGGCTCTGAGGTTTATATATCTCCCTTGATATACATTCAGAGGGTGGTGGACTGCAGACTTAGTCTGAATCCAAGGATCTCTAGGCTTTCCCATTCATCACCTGGTACATGCAATATTCTCCACTGAGAATAGATTAAAGGAATTTGATGCAGGGTGAGAAGGTCAGATTTAACTGCCAAAAATGTGACTTTTGGTCGGAAAATCCAGATGAGTATTTTTATGTCAGCAGTTATATTTCAGGAATTAAGAAAGAGTTTTGGAGCCCAATAGCTGATGTTTAATTGTGGCTTTACCACTTGCTTATATTATTTCAACATGTCTGAGTTTCCTTCTTTGTATATAATTTGAAGATTGAAAACTAAATGGCAAAGGAAAACATATCCTGTCTCACGGTTTGGTTTTGACAACTAACCTTGTGAATGTTGTAAAAATATTGGAACATTTCTTGGTTCTGGTCAACAGGCAAACACCAGTTCTTATTGTCTAAGCTCTTGAAGGTAACAAGTACTCTCCCTAACCTTTGTATTTATGTTGACAGGATGGGAATTCTGTGGTGTGTCCTGAGCCTCTGCTTCTTTGGGATCCTGCAAAGTGATGCCTCTGGTAAGTGAACAGCTTTTAATAATTGATCACAATTTAAGTTACATATAGGGTACGACCTCTTTCTGAGAATGAATCTTAAAGAACATAATGCTGTTTACTTCCACTGTTGTTTGTGGTAGCACACAATCATAGAGTTTGTGTGATGGGAGGAACCACTGATATTTCTCAGCGCAGAACACAGTGTACTTGGTTTGTTAGATGTAAAAGGAAAATCTCATTGCCTTTAACATCCGAGTTAGAGTACCACTTCTTTTCTTTTCCCTAGGTTCTGTGAGGCAATACATGTCAGTGAGGATAGCACAATCTTTTTCAAACAGGAGCTAGCAATGAAGCTCACAGTGGCTGACAGTCCAATGAGACCTTAAAACAAACAGGCAAGAGCAGGTGAGAAAGAGAAAGAGAGGAGTGTGGAGGGAAGTAGTTTCTCTGGAACTGCTTTGGTACAGGAGAAAAGGACTTGTCTATAGGTTCAGGTTCTTTATTTCTTTAGATGTTATTTCAAAAGTGGAATCAAGCAAGACCCGTCTTGAGTTTGAATACCCAAACTCTGCCCTTGTGAACTAAGAGTGTATGAATCCGAAGTGGAAGTCCACTTTGTGCCTCAGCGCCTGTTCTTCTCTCCTCTCTTTCCTTTCTTTCCCTCCCCTTTCTTCCTATTCCCATCCGTTCCCCTTCCCCTTGTCCTTCCCTCCCTTTCTTTCTTCCTTCGTTCCTTTCTGTCTCCCTATCTCCCACCCTTCCTGTCTTTGAATAACCAGACTCCACTGTTATGAACCCAGATCATAAAAAATGAGAGCTGAAAGCCCAGCATTGAGGCCTTTTATTTCTTTCCACAATTTCTGCTCTAGGACCTGTAACCAAGGGTCATCTATTTTTAGCCAGTTGTACATTTGAATGGATCAAAATTTTAGGAAGATTTTAGTACATAAAACTGAAAAGTGTCTCTTTTTCATTTCCATGAATTTCTTTAGTTCAGCTGCATGAGTGAAACAGAAAATCATGCATGCAAAATTCCTTTAATGTTACTACAGGAGACATAGGGATCCTTATTTTAAAAAGATCCCATGTATAATTCCTCTAAATACAGTGGCTCATACTTAGAATATCATTAATGTCTATTCTGTGTGTGAAGACTTCAGAGATGTTACATCAGTGATTATATAACTATGAGGCCAGTTTCTCCAATACATTCTTCACGCGGCATGGATTCCAGCCCTCCTACCATCCTGATCATCTTTGCTGGGTGCATTTCAATTTTTCTGTCACTAAAAGCATTGTATTAGAAACCAAAAATAGCTGTAACAGAGGGGTATAACTGGGACAGAGTACAGCTCAAAGCTGAAAGTAGAGATAACATCTAAACTTGTGGGCCTTTGAGACTTGAGAGTGCAAAGTATGTCTTGTAACCAGGGCTGATACTCAGTAGGGTATAGCTGGGGTGCCTTAGAACATCAGCCTCTGTCCTGCTTGGCTGGGTGTCAAAGTTGATTGGCGAGTGACTGGACATCCTGATTTTGATATATGTTGAGTATAAGCCCTCATTATAATTTGTTCTTTTATGATTTGATTTAGTTTGATGTTTGAATGTTACCGGCTCACAGAGACCTTTTGTGAGTATTTTTAACTAAAATCATCTTGTTAACCACTCTGTATCCCTCTACCTTGCTGTAGTGTTCTTCTTACTACATATTTCTCCTTTCTTTTCTCCTGTCCTGTTTCTCCTCCTTTCTGTTTTTCTTCTCCAACCCCTGTCCTTCCCTTCCTCCCCTCCCCTCCCTTCCCTTCCTCTCTTCCCTCCGCTCTTTTCTCCTTCCGTATCCTTCTTTCTGTCCCTCCTCTCCTGCCTTTTTTCTTTCCCCTCCCCTCTCCCTTCCTGCCTTCCTTCTTCTGTTTATCTCACCATTCCCTCCCTCTCTGATTTTAAGCTACCAGAGGGCATAGTCTTGTCTCCAAACAGGCAGAACAATAATCAATGCAGAGTAGATCTGCGAGGTTCAGTGGTTGAATAAATATTTCTTCATATCTCCTCTTTTTCCCCTCGAACACTGACCAGTTTTATGAAGGATGTGTTTAAATCCATGTTAGTAATTCATCACTGTGTGTTCACGTCCTACCTCAGGGTGAAGGAAAGGGAGAGGTGAGAGAGATCAGGAATCCCCAGAAGTCAGGGGTCCTGACAGTGCTGCTTGTCTGAATGCCCTTTACTATAGTCCATTCAAAGGCACCCCCCCCACGCACTCCGCCCAGTTCTCCAAATACTGTTGGTAAGTGAGCTTTCTACCCAGGAACTGTGACTCATACTTCTGCCAGGGGAAGCCGCCGTCTTGAATAAGATAAGTTCTCATACCAGCCCCATTGAGTCACCATGGGAGCAGGAAACATGTTGTAATCCCCTAGTCCCATCTGGAGAGTACTCATTTGCCTTCCCCATGAAGAGGTATATTGTGTTCATGTCAGCACTGTACTTCCTAGCTGGGGGGAGAGGCACAAAAAGGAAGCGTTGTGGACAAAAATAAAAGGGGCAACTGGCCCTTGGGAAAAAAACGGATCACTGCACATCTTGCGGGATAACCAACCTCTGTGTGCGTGGAGGTACTGCCTTCTGCAAGGACAGAGATGCCAGCAAAATTGTTGGTGCTGCATGAGACGCTCCCTGTGCTTCAGGTTCCCATCTTGGTAGAAGTACAGATTTGATGTGAGGAACCAAAGAGAAAAATATCCTGAGAACTCTGAAGTGCTCTCCATGCACGTGACACCAGTAAGAGGTTTGTTTTGTTGCTCGGGACATTACATCGATCCTCTCTTTAAAGAGAAGCTCCCACTTTGAAATACAAAAAGCCGTAACAATTTAAGAGTTTAGTGTCATGCAGTGAAGTTCAAGTGCCGTGAACTGGCTTTCAAGGCACAAAATTCTGACTTCAGACTATGGTCTTCCGATAGCAGAACTGCAGTTTCCTTATCCCTTTAGAAATGGGCAAGCAACATTTTTATCTGCGATGGCGATACACCCAAATAAAAACCGGCATTATTTTCTTTTAAGGAATTAAAGCTTGATAACTATAACAGTGATAATGTGATTATAATGTGGTGGTTATAATAATAACAATGAAGTTTCCTTTGCTTGAAAAAGCATTTGCATCTTACATTTTCTTTTGCACTTCTTTCTTCTATGAAAAGCATGGGGTGGACAGTGCTGTCATTGCTCCCATGCTTGAAAAGAGGACCAAAGTGGCAAATAAATTAAAGAGCAAAACAGCAGATAGATAATCTGGAACAGGAAGGTAGATCTTTTGTAAAATGGAAGAGGATCAAGAGAGGGAGGGAGGCAGAAGGAAGTTGAAGGGAAAGAGACGGGCGAAAGAATTAAGATACGTTATGTACAGGTATCAGTTCTGTCAGATGAAAGCAATTATTCTGTCCTGCAAACATGCACTAATTTAATTAATTAATTAATTTCAAAAACCAAAATGCTTAGTTGAATTACTCAAAGGCACAAGCTACTACTTAGCATAACTGCGACTTCAACTAGTGCTTCAGTTCCAAAGACTCATGTTAACCTTACGAAATGTTTTCCCCATGGGCTCTAATGGAACGGAAATAATTCAGAAAGGTTGTGAATGAGGAATCACTGGTATCCTTTTTTAAAGGAGTCACAGGAAATCATGGTGCCCATTGCCGGAGAACTACTCAGTAATAGGTTTCCTCATGTCTAAGTAAGGGATATCTTTGTGAAACCAGAGCAGTTTCTGGTTGGAGCAAAGGCAGCTAAACCCCAGCTCCAACAGGGAGGTCACCACCAGCATCACGCGCTAATGTTATCTCCCTGGGGCTTCAGGCTTCAAGTTCACAGTTCAGATGTGGTAACACTTTGACAATCTTCCCAATGTGGATTCACAGGTTCTAAATATTGATTGCTCCTCATGACAGTTTCTGCAGGAGAAAATAGCGCTGCACTCCTCATTTGAATCCTCAGAACTCCCCCTTTTGCTTGTTATGGCATTCAATATTTCTGTTATTAAGCCCAAGGAAGTTTCCATTTGCAGGAATTCAAGAGGTAAATTTTAAAGCCCCACAAGTACCACTTTTGGTGTGCTTCCCATTGGCTGCATTTTGGAAACTTCAACTCTTAAAGCTGCCTTCAGAGGAGCAATCAATATTTAGAACCTGTGAATCCACATTGGGAAGATTGTCAAAGTGTTACCACATCTGAACTGTGAACTTGAAGCCTGAAGCCCCAGGGAGATAACATTAGCGTGTGATGCTGGTGGTGACCTCCCTGTTGGAGCTGGGGTTTAGCTGCCTTTGCTCCAAAAATGCCTCTTTCCTTTATGAAGGCTGCTGAGAACTTGGTTCAGCTCATGGAAGTAAAATCCTCTGATTCCTTTTCCAGGATGTTTTTTATGAAGTTTATAGAGGGTAGAAATAATCTATTGATTTATTGGGCATGAATTACACAATGCAAAATACAGAAGGGAAAATGCCGTCGTGTGCTAGAAGTTGAAAGACATTGGTTTAAAGTGTATTTCATTCTGTGAGCTGTTTAATGACTTTAAAGAGGTCGTGTCATCACTTTTTATCACTGTGCTCTGCCTGTAAACCAAATCAAACAACCACCTAACTCACAACAGCGGTAGACCACAACCAATTTGGCCTTTGCTAATTTTTTAACTTATTAAGGAATAGTATAGGGCTGGGGATATAGCTTAGCAGCCCAAAGGCCTGCCTGGCAAGCGTGAGATTGTGAGTTTGATTCCCGGTACCCATAAAAAAAAAATTTAAAAAAAAGGAATAGTATACATCTTGGACATACACAGGGCAGATTTTTTTCTAGTATTTAATGGTTCATAATGACAGTCATGAGGATATAGCTTGGTGGCACAGCGCCTGCCTGGTAAGTGTGAGGTCCTGAGTTCTATTCCCTGTACCAAAAGAAAAAAAAAAAAAAAATTACAATCATTACAACAGTTACACTTCATTTTAAATCTCATGTGCTTGACCAT